GATTTTGGGATTTTCAAAGTTAGGCCAGTCACATCTCCAGCTTCCTTTGCTGCAGAAATATGCAATGAACCCTCCTGCAGGGTTCTTCACCACAGAGGTCACGAAGGGGTAGTCAGTTCTGCTTGTTCGCCTTTCTTGCAGCCCATTTTAAATGTTTGTACAGAAATGTTTTTCATTCTGTGAAAATGTATTTGGAGTTCTATATGAAACTGGAAGAACTCTGGATACTTTTATGTGTTCTCTTTTAATTAAAAAAATGATTAAAATTATCCTAACACTAAAGTGTTAAACTGGAATGGTTGACAAGATACACAGGATCTCAGTCTACATAGTGAGGGGTTGGGGAGAAATGCAATATTGTCCTAAGTTTCTTTTATTTTCCTTACCAAAAAATACCCCACAAACGGGATTCTGATCAGTTCTCTGCCATTTCCCTCAGACTGTGAGATAATACTTGATAGAACCACACCCCGAAACAGATGTTCTGTATTACCACAAGAATCAAATGAACAGTTGTTTAAAGGCAAAATAAGTTTCGATTTCAAAATCATTCCAGCTTTGCTTTTAACTATCCTGGATTTGTTAGAAAACTAATTTGAAAGAGAATTTAATTTTCTTAAAATTCCGTGTATATATATATATATATATATATATATATATATAGTATGAATTGTCTTTGATTGTATTCAGAATTAATTTTAACAGTAATAACCAATTTGGACCATTTTGAACATTCCCTATTTTGAAATTCACATGGCTTCCTTTAAAAACAAAGATAGAAGGATAAATTGGTGAAAGGTTTGTTCTCTGCATTTTCTAACTTTCTGAGTTGTGACTGAATGAGAGCTCTAGCGTTTACCAGTGAGGTTCATAAACTAAACTCTCAGGAATTAATTGCATCTGTTCTCGAAGTGCTTCTGGGTCTTAGCCTGGCCTCTTCAGAGTGGTAATATTGACCATCTCCTCTGGAATATAGGGAGGGCTAATTAGAAATTAATCAAAATGATTAACCTCTACAGTCCTTCAGCCTATGGAATGCTTTAAAAAATGTTCATGGAAAGCCCCAGGAGACCATTTTAGGTAAGATTTTTGTTTGAATTTTAAAATGCATAGAACGTTAAAAACCAGCAATTTATTTTCTAAAATATTGCTCTACTTTTGGGAATAATACATTGGTAATACGCACAGGTTTACCTCATTCTATGCAAGAGGGGTTAATAACATAAGGTTTTGTAGTTGCTACTGGAAGTAAAATTTGTTACTTTATAGTGTAAGAATGTATGGAATCGCATGTCAACATTTCTTAATACTGACTCTTTAGGGGCATAAATGCAGATTATATCAACGCCAAGTTGATTCTCATGTCTCAAATATATGTGAACTCAGCTGTTAAATTACTGGATATTTATCTTAAACAATATTACTGAGAGGGACCTACTGTAAATGTGACATCCTCACACTTCCCAAATCTTTAACTTGTAAGAATCTTCCCATAAACTTCAAGCCTAGAAGACTTCCAAAGCAAAGGTTACAACAATCTTTATTCTCAGGCTCATTGAACTAAACCCAGGACTCTGATTTCATGACATGGGCACAAGAAGCCAGTTGTATGGCGTGCCTACCAATGCTTTGGGCCTAAAGGCTCTCTGGGGAACTGAATAAACCAGGAGGGATTTGACTTGGAGCCTGGTAATTAGTTCTGTGAAATGCTCATTTGTAGCCAGGTTTTATAAGCTTCCAGTTCTGTAGCAAAACCAGGCTCTGAGAGTTTCCAGATTTCCCATCTGTTCATAGAGTGTTTCCTGTCTCGATCCCATGACCACTAGTTAAAGGTTGGTAAGGACTTCCTCCAGTCTAAACACAATCTGAAGCCCTCTTCATTGTTCAGACTCCAGCTCCTCCTGCTGCTGAACAGAACAGAAGTTACTGCAGAGGAGATGTACGTCTTAGCCATAACTCCAATTGTACAACTCAATAGCCCCCTGCTCTTCTCCGGTTCTAAGTGTACTGCTGACCTTGGGTTTGTTTTGATTTTTTTCCCGTTAGGATTATTTGGAGATTTTTCGTAGTTTAAACTCTTTAACCTTTTCCTTGCTGTGTATGAGGAAAGCTAAAGCTGTTATCAACAACTTCTTCTACGGATACTAACACGGGTTTTCAGTGTTTGTTTGTTTTTATTATTATTAATTTTGCGTGATGTGAATACCCTCTCCCATCAATATTTGTATTATGGTGCTATATATTTGGTAATGATCCTTTACTATTGGGAAGGGATTTTAAAAATACTGTGATTAAACTGGGTTTCTTCCTTTGATTTTCATATTTTAAATAAAGCCACAATCATTTGTACAAAAGAAAAGCATCTGTCCCTGGGCAAATCTTTTGAGGACAGAGGTCAAAGTAAACTGCATAAGGTTTTTACATCATTTCTGTATGTATTTGATATATAGATCAATATCTGTACAAATTTAATCTTTTATTTTCTTGGTAACTTGTGATCATTGAGAAAGTATTTGAAACTTTCTCATGAAGTGTATATAATGGCGTGAAAAATTCCTTCGGAGAACTTTATGTTCCTTTCATTTTTACCAAATGGCAAATTTTCAGCATGGATGTGAAAAGCATTAAAATTATAACTTTGTGTACAAGATGAAAATAATTCACTAAATTTGCCCTTTTTTACACAAAATAAAATGTTAAAGTTAAGTTGTATTTGAGCAATTCTTTAATATGCTTTGGTCTTGAGGGGTTTCCTCTTTTATTCAAAATACTGAGTGCCTTTGATGAGCAATCAAAGGCCCCTGCGAAGGTCAGATCAGTTCCTTCCTCGAAGAGCATGTAATCAGACAAAGGAGAGCAAGCATGTGAGCGAGGAAGAATTTACTAGCTGACAAGGGAGGAAGAGACTTTGGGTGGGTAGATGGACATGGTTGCATCTGAGGTAGGATTTCACGGACAGAGAGGGGAAAGGCACAACCCACAGCAGGGACAGAGGTGAGTGTGGACCACGGGTGGGGAAATTAAGTCCCTTTAGCTAGAACATGGTGTTTCAGGATTGGCACACTTGCTTGGGACTTTTTTTTTTTTTTAGCTCTGTTAACCTTAGCAGCAAAGTCCGTAGGATGTAAATAAATTATCCTAGCTAGCTCTTCCTGTTTAAGAGGGAATGCAAAGACACCCTTCTTTACCAACAGCTGATTCTTTGGAAACTTACTCAACTTTTACTGTAAAAGCAGTTTGTAGAGAATTTTACAGATATAAGATAGTAATGAGATAGATCGGGTTTCTTCAAGGGTTAATTTCATCACACTTTGGAAAAATGTAATGCATTCCAAGAGAAACAAAAATAAAACCTAATTTCTGCCCTTTAAGAGGAAGATTGGCACAGATATTTGCTCAGTGACAATCTTCCTCACAAAAACAAAAACAAAAAACCGCCTTCCTTTTTACAAACTGAGAATTCCAAGCCTTACAAGCAAGCCAAAATAGGACTTGCCTATCAACAACAAACAGTTATGTCAGAAGTAATGCATTTTAAATATTGCATTTACTATGTGTTCAAAAAGTCTTACTGAAAGCATAAAAGGTTCTGAATGAGTGAGTTGTGCACTTCCACACACCTCACTGGTGGAAAGGATTAGGTCCAAGACCCGACCTTCCTCCAGAGGGAGTAGTTTTCACTCTCACCATCGTCTGCCCTTTCACGTTCATGTCTCCCCGAGGAAGTGATAACACTCGCATCCTTCTCAGCTCTCACGGCTCCAAATTTGACTTCTCTTAACCCTCCAAACTCAGGATTTTCTCATGTCATTTGGAAAACTGTCTAAAGGCAGTAAAGCATCGTGGCTAAGAGCATGGAGTCACGCGAACTGCTTGCATTGGAACGCGACTCCTTCCCTGGTTAGCTCTGTACCTTGGCTGCATGTAACCTGTTGTGAAATGGGAGTACTAATACCAGCCTCCTAAGAGTTGTGAAGATTACGTGAATTCGTGAGGGTAATGTTCGTAGAACAGCCCTGGCACAGAGCGAGCCCATACTTAACTGCTGCTGCTAATCCAGTGTGCACAGGATCACCCCGGGGCACATTAAAATGCAAATCCCCAGGCCTGCTCCACAACCTGTCATTCTGATAATCAAACTTACTTCTACTTAATGTAGTGAAAGCATGTAGCATAAACCTGAGATTAAATGTGAAACTGAAAAACTTAGAAAATGTTAAATTTCTTGTCAGTTGCTGACTTGAAACTAAATTCCTGACACATTTTTCTACCAGGCTGTCAGTCTGTTTATGTAATCTCCGATTTTTAAGTAATCTCCGATTTTTAAGCCAGACTCTGGGTGATAGTGACAGATTATTCATATTGATAGGTGCTCTTTGGCATCATTTTACAACTGCCAACCCAGCAAAATTAACCGTAAAAGGAGGCAATATGAATTCTGTAACCACGCACTGCCTCTAGCCCAGGAAACAGGTGGGAGCACTCTCTCATCCCAGGGAAGAGAGTAGGAAGCGGGGGCAGGGTTTGGGGAGTGCCTGTACCAGCTGTGGACCAGGGTTAAGTGTTTTATATCCGTTATCTCATTGAACCCTGCCTTGCAGTGGTATTACCCTCATTTTACAGATGTCTGCAGGCTTGTTTCCTCATACGTAACTTGCCCAACAAAAATGTAAATCTAGACCCCTTCACTAATCTGTTTCACTCCGTCAAGTTTCAAAACTCTTTGTACAGAAACGCACATTTCTACATCAGCTAAAGCAGTTGGGATATTTATGATGTTCATTATTTTTAGTTTCCTTTGATGCACAACCAACGCCACACTTGTCCTCTTCAGCCTCACTGCTTCCCCTCCTAGAGTCTGGAAGTAGACTCAGGCGCTGAGAAGGATCAGATCGTTCTTCCATAATAAGTAGGATTAATTAGTTCTGGATAATGCTACGATAGCCAGGGAACCAAGTCACTTCTTCCAGCTTAGTAGCAAGTAAGCACAGGAGGCTGCACCCAGTTTCCAAAGGCTTTATTGGTAAATACGCTTTAGAAAAGAAAGATGAATCCTATTGCTTCCAATGAGTGGAATGAAGAGCTGTGTCCAGGGACACATCAAGTGGTGCCAGAGGGCACTGATGCCCTCCCCATCTCATTCATAGATCCAGTCAAAAGCACAAGACTTGTAGTCAACCAATTCTTCAGGCTTAAACCAGAGGCTGATTTCTTTCTCAGCACTTTTTACTGAATCACTGCCATGAATGATGTTCCTAAGAAAGAGAACAATTACTAGTTACATTTTAAAGTGCAAAAGTCTGTTTAATGGATAAAACAAAGGACAGCCACTGCAGACCTTTTGAGCCAAAATGCCACTTGAAGCAGAAGACTACCCCCAGGGTATTTCCTCTTAAAAGCAGGTATAAAACTGCAGTACTTGCTCAAAAGTATTCCTTGGTTGAACTTTATTATGCTTCCAAGTTTTCAAAATAGTGCTTGTACCCCAAGATTTGTTCCACAAAACATTCCTTCTCAAATTTGAAAAAAATACAGGAACAGCCAGACCAAACCCAGAACTAGATGAGATCTATCCATTATCAAGGGCCATTTCTGCTGCATTTTCTTAGAATAATTTGCAAAGCCCAACCAAGACATGCTTATTGACAATGCCTTTGTTCCATTTGAATCTCAAAGCTCTGTAAAGTTCTTGTACAGGTGAAGGAACCAGAGGGTTAAGTGACACACTCGTGGACGTAGCGCCACCAAGGGCAGAGCTGAGGCTAGAACTCCTATTTTCCCCACACTCTGCGCTTGCTGTTGTGTCACAGAACCTACCACATGCAGCTCCCTTGTGCAACGCGTTAGCTAAAATTTGCAACAGCCTAGGGAAGTAACTATTTAAGAAAGCTTTCATCCAATGATAATTACCACCTAATTTAAAAGTTCAAATTTTTTCTAAAATTGGGATATGGCAAAAATGTCTGTTTTAATACCCCATTTGAGTGGCTTTGAGGAAGAGTCATCGGCACCCCTCAGGACTTACCTGCCAACTTGAATGCAGAAGTCCCCGCGAATGGTGCCCGGCTTGGAATCTGCTGGATTGGTCTCTCCGAGCATCACTCGCCCTGTCTTCACCACATTCAGCCCCTCCCAGACCTTGACAGTAGGAAAAGGAATTGCATGGGGTCTGCCATTCAGGACTGGCAGGAACAAACACTTATCCCTACCTTCGACAAGCACTTACCATGGCCACGATGGGGCCAGAGTGCATGTACTTCACCAGCCCGGGGAAGAATGGGCGGTCTTTCAGGTCAACGTAGTGCTGCTTCAGGAGGTCCTCAGAGGCCTGGCATCGAAGAGGAGGTGCCAGTTAGGAAGTAAACTGGAAAGGCTGGGATATGCCTCCATCCCAACCTCAGAACCCCCATCACCAGGGTAGGTCCTCCGAAAGCCCTGTTCCGTATTTTAGCCCACATCCCTAAGGTGCATATAAAACAAAATGCCATCCAAACCACGAAACTGACGGTATTTTAGCAGAAAGATTGTTCTAATCATGAAGAACCCCTGAGAATGTCAGTGACTTATGGATGTCATAATCCTGAAACGTAGGTGGTTTGAAGATCTAGATTTAGGGGAGCCGGCCTGTGGCGCAGCGGTTAAGTGTGCCCGTTCCGCTTTCGCATCCTGGGGTCCGCAATTCGGATCCCTGGTGCGGACACGGCACCGCTCATCAAGCCATGCTGTGGCAGGCGTCCCACATATAAAGTGGAGGCAGATGGGCACGCATGTTAGCTCACGGCCAGTCTTCCTCAGCAAAAAGAGGATTGGCAGATGCTAGCTCAGGGCTGACCTTCCTCAAAAGAAAAATCTAGATTTATGGAGTTAAGTGTTGGCTGCAATTGAAGGAAATAAATATGCCAGACAGAGGTCATATCAAACTCCTCTGGCCCGTGCACAATGCCCTTTTAAACACTTCAGATGTTAACCCAGAACGTTCTCCTCTTCACTGACGAGATTGATTAAAATTTCCGTCTGTACTTACTTACTTATCCCTGGGGGTCCAAATCTGTGCCCCAAATTTAATGTGGAAAATACAGTAACTGCCCTCCGCCAGAGAGTCGGCAGAGGAAGGGTCACCCCACCGAAATCCTCAGTCATCTCAGAGCTGCAAGCTCACGCACAAAGGACTCCAGGCCTCCATTCGGCACAAGGAGCCCCGCGTGGGGCAGGGGAAGGGGGCCCGGGAGCAGGCTCTCCTCACTCCCTGCTGCCCCGCTGCGACGCCGGGGCAGGTGGCAGCCCACGGGCCGCAGCCACGGGAAGGAAGCCAGCCCCGAGCAGGAGTCACGTTACCTCCGCTTAACCTTCCCAAGGGCGTCTGTCCCCCGGGCCTAGGGAGAGGGTCACTGGGCCAGAGGGCTCAGGGGAGAGGGCAAAGGCCAAAGGGATTCTCGCGGGGGCGACATCAGCAAAGTGGGACCCCGACTCGGAAAAGAGACGCGACGAGCCCCTGCCGGGAAGGAAAAACACCTGCGACCCTGCTACTGAGGGGGCCGGGGAGAGGGGGCGCGTCACCTGGAGTAACTTCATGGCCACGAGGCGGAATCCCTTCTGCTCGAAGCGCTTGATGATCTCACCCACCAGGCTGCGCTGCACACCATCCGGCTTGATGGCGATGAAGGTGCGCTCCACGTTGGCCATGGTCCTGCGGGCGGGGAGTCGAGTCAGGGGCCGCAGCGACCCGGGCTGTGCGGGGTCCGGGACCCCCGGCCGCGAGACCACGTGGGCCCCTCCCCACCCCCCGCGGCCGCGCCCGCCCCGCCTCCCCCTCCGCCCGCCGCAGGGACACGTGGCTTCCCGAGCGCCTCCGCCCTGCCGGCCCGGGGCCGCCGCCCCTCGGCAGTCCCCGGACGCCCGCGGGGGGACGCGACAGGGCTCCCGGGCCAGCGCAGAGCTCAGGGACCTTGGGGGGTGGGGGGCGGCTGCGGGCGGGGATCCGCCGACGCGGCGCGGGGTGAGGGCCCCCGGGGGGAGAGGGCAGGGTCCCACCCCTACCGAGAGCTGGCGGGGCGGTGCGAGCGCGCTGCAGAGCTGAAGCCGGAGCCGGAGCCGGAGCCGGAGCCGGGAGCCGGGCGACCACCGGAGGCGAGGCCGCGGCGGAGGAGGGGCGCGCGGCGGCCACACCCCGGAGGGCCTGCCGCCCAACCCGCGGGGCCGACGCGGCCGGAGCACGCTGTCCACGCCCCGGCTTTGCACGGAGCGGGCGCGGCTCCGGGGGCAGGAAGTGATTTCTGCTCCTCCTCGCCTGTCTCCTACCGGTCTCGCCAGTAAGACTGCGCACGTCCGAACCCACCTCCTCCCTTCAGTGCCACCCGCCGCACGCGCGCGCGCACGAAAACCTGCTCTTGCTCTTGAGTTCTTCTCCCCGGTCAGTACGACCTGCTTTCCCCAGCCACCCGAGCACCCAGAGTTAAGCTTTCTTCTTCCTGCGCCCAGAAGTCCTGATCCTTCCACCGAGGAAATCGTTTTCCTCTTCCCTCCCCTCTGCCCGAGTCCTGGTTCAACCTCCCTCATTCAAACTGGTAGCCTCCGCAGGAGCCTCCACCTCCCCTCTGCCTGCACGGAGCCCCCTCCCACCCCTATCGGACCCCCGTCCCGCTTTGAGGACTCCCCGCTCCCTGGAGGAGGGCATTCCGGCGTTGCGATGCCTGAGCGAGCTGCCCCAAGCTGTCCGCAGTGCGCCTGCTCCCTCCCTGCCGGCCTCCCCACCCAGCAGGGCTGTGGTTAGGTCAGATTATCCAGTTCGGTCTGAGACACACCCTTGACGAGATTCTAGATCCTCTCAGACAAATCAGGCCTGTCATCCGTTTGCAGACAATTCCCACCTCCACTCCCACGGTTTGGTGGTGTCCAGCTTCCCCGGGGCAGTCAGCGAGCCCCTCCCTCAGCACTTACTGACCCCTGCCCATCAGTGCTTATCTCGGGGAGGGTCAGAGCCCCTGTGTCTGTCTCTCTTCAGGACGGTGACCCGGCCGCGGGAACCACGTGTCATCAGCCTCCTGGTCCTGACAGCCCAGGCCTCTGTTACACCTCGTTGGCTTTGCAGACTTCTAGTTGCTGAGCATTAAACCACAGCACGTTGGCAGTCCTCGTTCTGGAGCAGGAACACCAGGTGTTGCCTTTGGCCTCAGTCTGAAGCACACTCTTATTTGGGCTTCATTTTCAGTTACCAAGCGTCGAGTGTGGAAAGGAATCTGGGGATTTCACTGGACATTTCTCTGGAGAGCTGTTTGCCTCCTGGCAGTGCCGTCAGTTCCAGCCCTGGGCCCTGCACCTCTCCTTTCCTTCCGGAAAGACTGTCATTGGGGAAGGTATAGCCCGCCCTGCCTCCTGACACACGTATTCATTCCCCAGAAGTCCTGGTACTCTCACCCGCCAAAGCAAACCACCTCTGTGTGAGACAGAAACTCATCGAGCCCTCCACTGCTCAAAACAAGGGAGCCCCCGATGGAGGGAATCCTTTCACCATGTAGTCATCACATTGCACACATTACATAGCTTACAGTTTTGTCAATTAGACCTCAATAAAGCTGGGGAAAAAGACAATAACCCCATCCCAACTGTCCTCCTCTGCCTCCTCCTGAGAAATCACTTCCCCTCAGTTGCCTCTACCAAACCCAGGTGAACAGGGAAAGTACCAAGAAAGAAAACCTGCTAGTTTGTGGCAAAAATCAGTAGTTGTCCCACTATCTATCCCCACTTTCTTCCTTCTCATATTAGAACTCCTGAGTTTTATCTGGGTACAAAGTTACCCAAATAAAGATAACATTTTCCAGTTGTGGTGGTTTCTTTTTTTTTTTTTTTTTTGCTGAGGAAGACTAGCCCTGAGCTAACATCTCTGCCAGTCTTCCTCTATTTTGTATGTGGGTGCCCACCACAGTGTGGCTGACGAGTCTTGTAGGTCCATGCCCTGGATGGAAGGCATAAACCCAGGCCACCAAAGCAGAGTGCATGGAATTTAACCACTACACCCCGGGGCTGGTCCCTGTTGTTTTTCTTGTCACCAGATACAGCCACAGGACTAAGTTCTGGCTGGTGAGATGCAAGGGGAAGTGAAGGTGGTAAATTCAGAGTTGTGCCCTTAAAAGTAAGGGACACTCTTTCCACTTCCCTCCTCAACTTGCTGGAGGGCATAGGGGTGGTAACGGGTTTTGCAGTGGGTAGAGGGAACTGAGTCCCTGGACAACCCCAAGGATGAGCCCTACTATCACCACCCCTACTTACCAGCTTGGACTTTTTTTTTTTCAGTTTTATTGGGATATAATTGACAAAATTTGTATGTGTTTAAGGTGTACAACTTGATGTGTTGATATACCTATACATTGTGAATGACCACCACAATCAAGCTAATTAACATATCCATCACTTAACAGTTACCATTTTCTTTCCTGTGTGCGTGTGTGTGCACATGGTGAGAACACCTAAGATCTACCCCCTCAGCAAATTTCAAGTATACAGTACAGGATTGTTAACTGTAATCACAGTGCTGTACCAAAGATCTTTAGCTTGGACTTTCAAATAAAAGACAAGTGGATTTCCATCTTGTACACATGACACTTGAAGCAACCAAATCAAGATCCTAACAAATCAAAGCTACTTACAAGATTTCTGTATCTTCTTTTGAGGTCATCCCAGGGACCTGGGCCCACTCTCAGCATAGCTCTTCTGTTTCGGAGTAGTTACAACTGAGTCCCTGAGAGCTTCTCAAGAGCAGGAAGGATATCTTTTATTTCTAGTGAATTCTCTGCATCCAGTACAGTCTTGGCCACCTAGCAGCTCCTCAACAGATGCCTGGTGACTGGCTGTGCCAAGAGGGGACGGGATGCAGGGGGCAAGAGAGGAACAGGCAAAGAACACGTGTGTGTGTGTGTGTGTGTGTGTGTGTGTGTGTGTGTGTGATCTCTCAGGCCAATATAAATAATTTCTATAGTATTTATTCTCTCTATTAGCTCAGGTTAGCCAGAGCACATGAAAAAGTCAAAAAGAATACAAAGCAATACAGCTAGACAAAGTAACTACGGGATGCAACATTTTAATCTGATGGTAGCACGTAACACTGTACAGGGAGCCCTCACAGCTCCAAGAGTTTCCCTCCAGATTACAAGGAAGTTCTCAGAAATAACTAGACTCGCTGTAGCCTGGCCCCTGCCCGTGGGAGGGGAGGCGAGGGAGTGGGAAAGCACCGCGGTCTGCGGCCGCGTCACTCGTAGATCCAGCTCTGAGCACAGCTCTTGTAATCGACCAGTTCCTCAGGCTGAAACCACAAGGCGATCTCCTTCTCTGCGCTCTCCACGGAATCACTGCCATGGATGATGTTCCTGGATGGGGAAAGAGATGGCCGTGTGACCAAGACCAGAAGGATTAAACCGCCCAGAAGCTCCCCTCACTCCCAGTGCCAGAAAGCCTACAGCTGCCGCAGCAGAAAAAGCCAAAGCTCCCCGTACATCAGTCTGGGTCAGAAGAAAGAAACCAGGACTGCAGTTAACATAAGGATGAAGACGCCCTCCCCACAGCCAGCCCTCCCAGGAACACTGATGCAAGCAGTGAAAGCCCTCTGGAAGGACGCTGGCCAGGAGAGCGTGTTGTACCAGAGTTTTTTATTGTCCACCCTCTCAAGAGACACAACCACAGCAATGTTGACAACCAAAGGCGAAGAGCCCGTGAAGCCGAACACCAACTTCAGAGGGAGAAATACTATGAACTCTGGTTAAAAATTGATCTGCATATGGTCTCATGTCCATCCTCAGGAACTCGAATTCTAACTTGGATCATGGGAAAGGGTAAAAAGCACCAACTCCCACCTGCCAACTTGGATGCAAAAATCCCCACGGATGGTCCCAGGCTTGGAGTCCGCAGGGTTGGTCTCCCCGAGCATCACTCGGCCTGTCTTCACAACATTCAGCCCCTCCCAGACCTCAAAGGACAAAAGAAGACATGGTCAAGGAAGAAAAGAAGTCTCAGCAGAAAACCCGAAAACTCTTAATTTAAAAAAGAAAAAGCTCCCTTAAAATGACCTTCATTCATTGGGCAAATACTGACAGAGTATCCACTTGTTCCCACACTGGGAATGTTGGTCTCCCTGATCCCACTCTTGCCTTTCTACAATCCATTCTTTTTGTTTTTTCCCCTTGAGGAAGATTAGCCCTGAGCTAACATCTGCTGCCAATCCTCCTCTTTTTGCTAAGGAAGACTGGCCCTGAGCACAAATCTGTGCCCATTTTCTTCTACTTTATATGTGCGACGCCTACCACAGCATGGCTTGCCAAGCGGTGCCATGTCTGAACCTAGGACCCGAACCAGCAAACCCCAGGCTGCCGAAGCAGAACGTGCTCACTTAACTGCCGTGCCACCCGGCCAGCCCCTACAATGCATTCTTAACACAGCAGCCAGAGTAGCCTTTTTAAAATGCCAAGTGTGAAACCTCCCATAACTGCCAAGGACTCATGAAGTCCATGGCCAAAATAGTCCAACATGAACTGGCCCCACCTGTGCCTCTTAACATCTCATTCAACCTTCTCTTCCACCCACCAGGCTTCAGACACTTCAACCTTCTTTCTGTACTTCAAAAAGTCCACACCCCGGGGCCTTTGCACATGCTGTTTTCTTAGTTGAGAAGGCTCTTTACTGTGAATTTGTGCAGAGCTGCCTTTCTTCTCATTCAGATCTCAGCTTGAAAATCATGCTCCTTGACCAGCCAATCTAAAGTGATCACTTGCTATCACATCATCCTATTTCATTTCTGTGCCTATCACTAATCAATAGCTGATACATATATTTTTTGGTTTCTTTATTATCTGCCCATCCTCCCCTTTCAAAATGTGTAGGCAAGGAAAGCTACAAAAACAGGTACCTGTTAGTCTCATTCACGATTGTATCCCCAGTGCCTGGAAAAGAGCCTGGCACAAAGATGACAACCTATACACACTTGGAGAAGAATTACTGTGGTAACCACGAGACCATCTCCCCCCACTCCGGGAGCTTCCAATAGGGCAAACCCCTCCTGACCTCTCCCAGCCGTGAGTCTTCAGTTCATCCTGTCTTTGGTGCGTCAGCGAGCTGACACATCCTAATTGTCTAACCCTCCCAGCCCCAGCTTGCTCCGCATCCATGAGGACCCGGCATGAGAAGCAGGAATCACAACACCCACCCTTCACCCCCAACTGAGCCATTCACAGTGACTTCCCACACGTGCACACTCACCATGGCAACCACTGGCCCCGAGTGCATGTATTTCACCAGCCCGGCAAAGAACGGACGGTCCTTCAGGTCGTTGTAGTGTTCCTTGAGGAGGTCTTCAGAAGCCTACAGCGCAGGAGAGAGAATGAGAACTGGCCCTAAGACTGTCTAAGAACCAGCAATCTAGTGACTTCCCACTCCCCCGCCCTGCCGTTTGAAACATGAGCTCTCAGTTCATGGAGTCCGTTATAGCGATTCCTTCTCAACACTTGCAGAGGGGGCAGTGACGAGGCCAGAACTGTTTCAGCTTTGTGCCAGTTTCCCCCCTTGACTGATCAGAATAAACCACAGACCACTAGACTCGAATCCAGCCCCCTCATCGCAGACAGGAAAACTAACAGCATGATGAATTTCCATTCCCAGAGCAAGCCTCAACTAAAACGTTAGCGGGAGGTGAGGGAGGGGGTCTCGGCATTCGAGGAGAAGCAGACTGAGCCAGGCCATTTCTCAGGGACGCTTCACATCTGCTCAGAGGACAAAGGCCCGGTGTGGCGATCATGCAATCCCCACAGGGATCTGCAAACCATTCAAAAGCACGTGACATCTAGCAGTAAATCATTCTGCCGCAGAATGAATTAGAAGCTCTCACAATGCAAGGTGGGAATGTGGGAACGAATCAAGTTAGCCAGAGCGTGAACCATCTGCTTGGCAGTTCCAACTCGTCGCCACTGCGTCCTCTCTGTGCCACTGCACACACGCTTGTGAAGGGTCTAACGAGGCCCCTTAGTTTTCCAGTTCTGTGGTACCACATTCTATGAGGCATGTTGCACACGTCAGTGATACCCACAAACGTGGAGATTTGCCGCCAAAAAGCAAATCCAGAATGTCCTACCGTTCAGCCCCCAGATAACCATGTGATCACTCATGTTAACCACCCACCTCCCCGCTTCCATCCACATGGAAGACCCACATTGGTAGACTCCCACACACTGACCTGGCCTTCCCTTACCAGAACACTCTTTTCATTCTTTTTTATCTTTTAAAGATTGGCCCTGAGCTAACATCTGTTGCCCATCTTTTTTTTTTTCCTTCTTCTTCTCCCCAAAGCCCCCCAGTACATAGTTGTATATTCCAGCTGTAGGTCCTTCTGGTTGTGGCATGTGGGACGCCACCTCAACGTGGCCTGATGAGCAGTGCCATGTCCGCGCCCAGGATCCGAACCAGTGAAACCCTGGGCCGCTGAAGCAGAGCGCATGAACTGAACCACTTCGTCACGGAGCCAGTCCCTGTTTTAATTCTATTAGTTGGCTCTGATTGTCTTTACTCTGCAAAACAAATCACAGGCTTTTTTGGGGTGAGGGGGGGCCTCCAGTTTTCTCTTGCCTCCCTCCTCCACATCAGATGTAAATAACCCTGTAGATTCATGCCAGCTATCCCTCCTCCCAGTCTTCAGCAAGCCCACAGCCTTGATAGGAAACTCAGCATCAAGGAGAAAATGTATGCACTTAGGGGTCAGAGAGACTCGAGTTAAAATCCCAGTTGCAGGGGCCGGCCCCATGGCCTAGTGGTTAAGTTGGGCATGCTCTGCTTTGGCAGCCCCGGTTAGTCCCCAGGTGTGGACCTACACCACTTGGTGGCAGCCATTCTGTGGCAGTGCCCCACATACAAAATAGAGCAAGACTGGCACAGATTTTAGCTCAGGGCAAATCTTCCTCAGCAAAAAAAGAAAATCCCAGTGGCATCAATGACTGTGTGCCTTCAGGCACACTACTTAACCTCTCCAAGCCTCAGGTTCCTCCCCACTGACAACCACGGGAAGAGGATTAAGCACCTCTCTGCACTGTTATGAAGGCTGGATGAGAAAATATGTGTGCCCAGTACATGGTAAATGCCTGATCAATAATACTTTCATTTCACTTTACCTTCAAAACCTAATCTAACATGCAAACACTCTAGACAGCAGTGCTTGTCCAACACTCTGCTCTAATCAATCCATCACACTCTCCCCTCAGCGTTAACACCAGTCTACTCTCTCTTATATTAAGGAGGTTTTTCTAAAACATCACACAGGAACTAAATTGCAAATCAAACAATTTAAAATGCACTCGGGTTGGGGCCAGCCCAGTGGCACAGTGGTTAAGTTCATACGTTCCACTACAGCGCCCTGGGCTTCACTGGTTTGGGTCCGGTGTGGACCTATGTACCGCTTGTCAAGCCATGCTGTGGCATTGTTCCACCTATAAAGCAGAGGAAGATGGGCATGGATGTGAGCTCAGGGCCAGTCTTCCTCAGCAAAAAGAGGAGGAATGATAGCAGATGTCAGCTCAGGGCTAATCTTCCTCAAAAAAAAAAAAGAAAAGCACTAGGAGAGTTCAAAGTTGACTCTTTGAATAGGAAAAAAGATTTCCCCTAATTTATTTGCTTTGAGAATTTGAATTATTTCCCAGGTCTGTTTAAGAAGGCTTCTTGGGGGGCCGGCCCAGTGGCACAGTGGTTACGTGTGCACGTTCTGCTTCGGTGGCCCAGGGTTCACCGGTTCAGATCCTGGGTGCGGACCTGGCACCGCTTGGCAAAACCACACGGTGGTAGGCGTCCCACATATAAAGTAGAGGAAGATGGACATGGATGTTAGCTCAGGGCCAGTCTTCCTCAGCAAAAAGAGGAGGATTGGCAGTAGTTAGCGCAGGGCTAATCTTCCTCAAAAAAACAAAAAGAAGGCTTCTTGGCCAATCAATCCTTTGCAGTTTTTGAAATATTGCTTTGTAGATGTCTGCTCTCTGCTGTTTGAGGTGGGCCTCCCCCAAGGGAAAAACAAGCTTTCCCCCTGCGCCCCGATGGTGCCTAATATATGCCAGACACTAAACGGGTGATAACTAAGGATGGAAAGAGTTTTCTTGCTAAAAAATAAGCTGCCTCAAAGAGAAGAAAGGGAGCCAGCCCGGTGGCACAGCGGTTAAGTGCGCACGTTCTGCTTCCACGGCCCAGGGTTCACTGGTTCAGATCCCAGGTGCAGACATGGCAGGGTTGGCAAGCCATGCTGTGGCAGGCGTCCCACATATAGAGTCAGATGGGCACGGATGTTAGCTCAGGGCCAGTCTTCCTCAGCAAAAAGAGGAGGATTGGCAGCAGATGTTAGCTCAGGGCTACTCTTCCTCAAAAAAAAAAAAAAGGAGGAAGTTCTCTAAAATCATCTGCTCCGGAAGTTCAAGAGCAGAAATGCAAACACGCCTGGGGCTGTGAGCCAGAAATCGCAGCGCCGCAGTAACACGCGGGCCGGGGTTGCTAAGGGAAAGGGGGGCTGTTCCCAAAAGTCTTAGATAACTTGGTTTGTTCCAAGACTCGGCCACGACGCTAGGCTGCAGAGGAGTTTCCAGGTTTCAGGACATTTGTGTCCGCCCTACATGGAGAAGACTAAAAGGAGGGGCGGGAGAAAGAGACAGGCTGACCCACGACATGCCCCCGACTACAGAAGAGCAGGAAGAGGGGCGGAGCCCACTCACGCGCATGAACTTCATAGCGACGAGCCGGAAGCCCTTCTGCTCGAAGCGCTTGATGATCTCGCCCACCAGGCTGCGCTGGACCCCGTCAGGCTTGATGGCGATGAAGGTGCGCTCGCTGTGGGCCATGGTCCTGCGGGCGGACGGGTGAGGGAAGGAAACAGCACTGAATACCCTGCCTGCACCACGATCCTTCCCAAGCAGATTATCCCGTAAAGCTGGTTTAAGTCTGTCACGTCAGTGTGAAGTCTCTCTAGGAAAAACCCAGTCCGCCCTCAGTCTCTTCATCGATGAGCTAACATCCCAGAGTGGGGAGGGGTCCAAGAGCAGGGGCTATAATTTCTATCCCATTTGATTCAATAAGCTTCTATTAAGCATCTGCTGTATACCCAATACTGTGGCAGAACTAAGGTATGGAATGTTAAAAAAAAAAAAAAGAGACACTATTGGGGCCGGCCTGGTGGTGTAGTGATTAAGTCCACACGCTCCGCTTTGGCAGCCCAGGGGGTTGTGGGTTCAGATCCCAGGTGTGGACTCATGCACTGCTCACCAAGCCATGCCGTGGTGGTGTCCCACATACATAATAAAGGAAGACTGCCACCAATGTTAGCTAAGTGACAACCTTCCTCAGGCAAAAAGAGGAAGATTGGCCAGAGATGTTCGCTCAGGGCCAGTCTTCTTCACCAAAAAAAAAAAGAAAGAAAGAAAAAGAAAAAAGACTATCTTTCTCAGTTATCAAGATGAGGAAAACTACGCTGCTAATGTGAAAGTGACATCTGGGACAAGGCAGTATGAAATACAATTTGATCTACTGCCAGTCATGGTATTAGAACTAGAAGGGGTTTTAGAGATGACTTCCCCTTCCTTTCACAAACAAGGAAACAGATCTAGAACACCAGAATGAGGACCAAAATCCCTATTTCCCAGCCCTGTGAAATGTATGCTACATCATAAGGCGTAATAAATAGTGTGACTAACTAATAAATGGAGGATTGTGGGAGAACTAGAGCCCTTAATAACATCTGATATGGGACATCGTGATGGAAGGAAGCCTAGAGAGCAACTATTCCAGACCTTTCCTTTTACAAAGAAGTCTGGTTCCCAACCTGCTTTGTCTCAAGATGAGAAAGGAGGAGGCCCGCACCTTGAAAGACAATCAATCCCCAGTGTGGACAGCAGCACCGGCGCCTGGCTCCACCTGCCTGGACTGTAGTTGTTAACCTCTTATTACCGCACTTAAGGGTATATTAGAATTTTCTGTTTGTGTGTCTGTCTCCCCCCTGGTCTGCGGCCTGTATACAGCAGTCTCCCCTTATCTGCATACGTTCCAAGACCCCGCAGTGGATGCCTGAAAGCGAGGACAGCACCAAACACTATACAGGCAGACCTCGGAGACAGTGCAGGTTTGGCTCTAAGCCACTGGAATAAAGCTAACCTTGCAATAAAACGAGTCACATGAATTTTTTGGTTTCCCAGTGCAAATAAAAGTTATGTTTACACTACACTGTAGTCTATTAAGTATGCAATAGCATTGTCTAATAAAACAACGTTTTCTTGCCAAAACATGCTAACCACCATCGGAGCCTTCAGTGAGTTGTAATCTTTTTGCTCGTGGAGGGTCTTGTAAAAAAAACATAAATAAAGCGAAGTGCAATAAAACGAGGTATGCCTATATATACTATGCTTTTTCCTATGTATACATAGTTATGATAAAGTTTAACTAATAAATTACACATGGTAAGAGATTAACAACAATAACTAGTAAGAAAATGGAACAATGATAACGATATATTGTAATAAAAGCTACGTGGCTGTGTGTGTCTCTCTCTAAACATTTTATCGTACTGTACTGTACAGAAGAGCCCGGTTTCATCGCAATCCAAGACTTGCTTTGGCTGGTATCCTTTCTCCTTAATCAACTTCTTCAACTCTGCCGGAAATGTGGCAGCAGCTTCTTCGGCGGCAGGCACAGCCTCTCCAGTACTTTTTATAGTTCTCAGTCCAAACCTATTCCTGAATCTGTGTAACCATCCCTTACTTGCAGTAAATGTCTTGGTGTCACTCGTTTCACGGGATCCCTTGCTGAAGTCTTCATATAGATTCAGTGCTTTCTGGCGCAACATGTTGCCATCAAGCGGAACGCATTTTCTGTTCATGTCTTCCACCCACAAACTTAATGCCTTTTCCATATTAACTAAGCACTTATCCCGCACTGTGGCCGTAACTTTTGCAGTTAGAGGTGCGACAGCAAAACTAGCACGAATTTCTTTTTCCTTCTTCACAATTTCACGGATGGAAGATTCATTCTTACCGTAGATCTTAGCCACCTCAGCATACGATTTTTTTTCTTTCCTTATTAAGTCGAGAACTTTCACCTTTTCACTTAAAGGAAGCACTTTACGGCTTCTCTTTGGAATATTCGAACTGCCAGCATCGCTATTCTTGCGCTTTGGGGCCATCATTAAGTAAAATAAGGGTTACTTGAACTCAAGCACCCGATACTGCCTCAGTCGATCTGATAACCCAGAGGGCTACTAAGTGACTAACCGGGTAGCATATTACAGCGTGGATCCGCTGGACAAAAGAATGATCCACATCCCGGGCAGGACAGCGCGAGATTTCACCACGCTACTTAAAACGGCGGGCAATTTAAAACTTATGAATTATCTATTTCTGGAATTTTCCATTTAATATTTCCCGATAGAGGTTCACCGCGAGTAACTGAAACCTCGGAAAGCGAAACCGTGGGTAAGGGGAGACCACTGAACAGGAATGGTTTACTCCTGTGTCTGTCCTCGGTACCAAGCCACAGGGCCCAGAATTCAGTAAGAGCAACACAACAGTGTCTGAAACGGTAATGACCGTGCCCTTCCAAGAGAAAGAGAGAAAGACCCAGGTCTGGCGGAGAACTCCCAATGACAGCTGGAAACTAGCATGGATTCCCCAGGAGACGACGGGGCTAAGGAGCCAGGAACGGTCCCTATAGACGGCCCTCCACACCCACCGTGGCACCACGCCTGTCATTCACTAAGCACGCACTCACTGAGCGCCACCTGCGTGCCCAGCCCTGCACCGGACAGCGACAAACAGGGCACAATCCCCATCCTGGCGGCCTGATGGGAACGGCAGCCGCGGACAAAGGCGAGTCCACGTGGGGGGACGTGCGATGACAGGTGTCCCCCACACCCGATCCACCTCTCACAGCGCAACCCATCCGCCCTCTTCACCTCCCCCATCCCCGGCCACGCACTGCTCGCAGTCCTCTTCGAACCCGAACCCCTCTCACCCCTCCAGCTGCTCGAGATCCCACGGCGCCCGCTGCACCCGGCACCGGAAACCTGCCCCGGCCCAAGTGGCTGCCGGCGCCCGCACGCGCGGAACGCTCCTGCGCAGCTCGGCTGCCGCCGAGCCCATTTTGCAGAGCACCACTCGCCCACGCTTCCTCCGGTGAGTCGGGCGTCATTCTGCGGAGCAACCTTCCGAGGTTTAACTTCCGGCACTGCGTTCTCGTGCCCTTCCGGCAAGCTCCGTTGATTTTTTTTTTGCGATTCTGTGACTCACTTCCTTCGTTCGCGAGCCATTGGCTTCCCGAGAGGTGGCGCTCGCGAGCGCCTGACCCAGAAGGGGACTGTCGCTGTCGCTTTACATTGACTCGTTCCTTCCAGCCTGTCAAGCAGTAAGGTCTTTATTGAGTACCTACTGTGTGCCAGGCACTACTGCAGGGCCTGGGGCTACAGCAGTGGACTCCTTTGCAGCTTCTGATGGGGTTGGGGGAGGGGCAAACAATAAACAGATGAGCAAATTAATAGGCAATAGATTGCATGATGTAGGTCCTGTTAAGAAAACGCAGGGCAAGAAGGAAAGGTGGAAGGAGTAAACTCCTTTAAAAGGGTAGTTGGGGAAATCTCTCTGAGCGAGTGACGATGGAACAAACCTACATGAAGGGAGGGAGCAATCGGCTGACCATCCGGGCGAGGGTTGCAGCGGGCAGGGAGTGGCAGCAAGTGTGGTGGAGGGAAGTCGCTGGAGGGCTTTGAACATCATCTGATACACGTTTTTAAAAACTCGTTCTGACTGCTCTCTGAGGAATGGGTGGAATAAGGTACAAAAGTGGAATCAGAAGCCCTTTCAACAAATGGTGCTGCAGCAACTGGACATCCATAGGCCAAAAAAATGAACATCTTCCTAAACCTCCTGCCTTAAACAAGAATCGCTCAGAATGGATCATAAATTTAAATGTAAAATGTAAAACTATAAAACGTTTAGGAAAAAGGTTTAAAAATCTTAAGTACTGTATTGTATATTTGAAAGTTGCTAAAAGAGTAGATCTTAAAAGTTCTCATCACAAGAAAAAAATGTGTAACTGCAGTGACGGTTGGTAACTAGACATCGTGGTGATCGTTTAGCAATATGTACAAATATAGAATCATGTTGTACACCTGAAACTAATTTAATGTTATATGTCAATTATATCGCAATTAAAAAAAGAAAGAAAATATTTAGAACTGAGAGCTAGGCAAAGAGTTTTTACACTTGCCACCAAAAGCACAATCCATAAAAGGAAAAAGTTGATAAATTGGACCCTATTGAAAATGAAAGCTTTGGTTCTTTGAAAGACCCTGTGAAGAGGATGGAAAAACAAGCTACAGTGGTAGAAAATATTTACAGACCACATATCCAGCAGAAAAGGCTTGTATCTAGAATATATAAAGAACTCTCACAACCCAACAGTAAAAAAAAAAAACAAAAAAAACCCAACTATAAAATAAGCAAAAGATAAGAATAGATATTTAACTGAAAAGGATATACAGATGATAAATAAGCACAAGAAAAGATGTTCCACATCATTAGCCATTAGGAAAATGCAAATTAAAGCCACACTGAGGGGCCAGCCCAGTGGCACAGCAGTTAAGTTCGCACATTCCGCTTCAGGGCCCAGGGTTCACCGGTTCGGATCCCAGGTGCGGACATGGCACCGCTTGGCAAAAGCCATGCTGTGGTAGGCATCCCACGTATAAAGTAGAGGAAGATGGGCATGGATGTTAGCTCAGGGCCAATCTTCCTCAGCAAAAAGAAGAGGATCGGCAATAGTTAGCTCAGGGCTAATCTTCCTAAAACAAAAGACAAAAAAACATGAGATATCACTACACACCTGTCGTAATGGCTAAAATAAAAACATAGTGACAACACCAGATGCTGTCAATGAGGAGGAGAAACTGGATCCAGTCATACATTGCTGGTGGGAACATAAAGTGGTACAGCCCCTCTGGAAAAGTTTGGCAGTTTCTTATAAAACTTAACATGCACTTACCATATGACCCAGCCATTGCACTCTTAGGTGTTTATCCCAGAGAAATTAAGGCTTATGTTCTTTTTTTTTCTTTTCTCTTTTTTTTTTTGAGAAAGATTAGCCCTGACTAACATCTATCGCCAATCCTCCTCTTTTTGCTGAGGAAGATTGGCCCTGAGCTAACTTCTGTGCCCATCTTCCTCTACTTTTTATATGTGGGACGCCTGGCACAGCATGGCTTGACAAGCGGTACATAAGTCCGAACCTGGGATCCGAACTAGCGAACCCCAGGCCACCGAAATGGAACATGCGAACTTAACCGCTCTGCAACCGAGCCAGCCCCTTTTTTCCTTTTTTAATTCTTCTTCTCCCCAAAGCCTCCCAATACATAGTTTATACTCTAGTTGTAGGTCCTTCTCTGCTATATGGGATGCTACCTCAGCATGGCCTGATGAGCAGTGCCATGTCTGCGCCCAGGATCTGAACCAGCGAAACCCTGGGCCAGGGAAGCGGAGCCTGCCAACTTAGCCACTTGGCCATGGGGCCAGCCCCAAGATTTATGTTCTGTTCACACAAAAACCTGTGCACAAATGTTCAGAGCAGCTTTATTTGCAATGGCCAAAAACTGGAAAAAACCCGAATGTCCGTCAAGTAAATGCTTAAACGAACTATGGTCCATCCATACCATGGAACACCACTCAGCAATACAAAAGAAAAAACTATTGATACAGGCAACAACTTGGATAGATCTCAAGAGAATTATGCTGAGTGAAAAAAGCCAAGTGCAAGAAATTACATACTCGGGGCTGGCCCGTGGCCCAGTGGTTGAGTTCGACACTCCGCTTCGTTGGGCCAGGGTTTCACTGGTTCGAACCCTGGGCCTGGACATGGCACCGCTCATCAGGCCATGCTGAGGTGGCGTCCCATATGCCACAACTAGAAGGACCCACAACTAAAATATATACAACTATGTACTGGGAGGCTTTGGGGAGAAAAAGGAAAAATAAAATGTTTAAAAGAAAAAGAAGTTACATACTATTGACATTTATATAAGATTCTTTTTTTTTGTTGAGGAAGATTAGCCCTGAGCTAACATCTGCTGCCAATTCTCCTCTTTTTGCTGAGGAACACTGGCCCTGAGCTAACATCCATGCCCATCTTCTTCTACTTTATATGTGGGACACCTGCCACAGCATGGGTTGCCAAGCGGTGCCATGTCCGCATCTGGGATCCGAACCAATGAACCCTGGGCCACCAAATCGGAACGTGTGCACTTAACTGCTACACCACAAGGCTGGCCCCTACAAAGCTCCTTTTTAGTGGTTGGAGTCCACCATACTAGTGTTTCTAAAACCTCTATGTACAAATGAATCACCTAGGGATTTGGGTTTTTTTGAGGAAGATTAGCTCTGAGCTGATATCTCCTGCCAATCCTCCACTTTTTTTTTTTTTTTTTTTGCTAAGGAAGACTGGCCCTGAGCTGTCATCCATGCCCATCTTCCTTTACTTTAAGTGTGGGATGCCTGCCACAGCATGGCTTGACTAGCAGTGCATAGGTCCACACCTGGGATCTGAACTGGCAAACCCCAGGCTGCCGAAGCGGAACTTAACCGCTGCACCATGGGACTGGCCCCATGGGGATTTGTTAAAGTGCAAATGCTCACTCAGTTGGTCTGGGATGGAGCCTGAGAGTTTAATGATTCCAATGCTTTGATTGATAGGCTCTACAATACCATGTCCTAGAGCCAGGTTCTTTTAACATGATGATTTAAGCCTTATTAGGTGAGGAGCGTCTTGCCCAGGCAGATGCTGGAGAAGGGAGGTGGGCAGTACCAAACAGGAAGATCTCATCTCTTCCTGGAAGCCATCCTAATTACATGACTCACCCTAACCTTCCTTTCCCAACCCTACATACAACCACCAGGCTTCCACAGGTAAATTTTTCTGCAAACCAAATCAGCAAACAGTAAGAATTTAAAGCTAACAATAATGTTAATGAGCATACGGACCAATCTCTTCTCCAGAAATTC